CCCGCGCGCCGGCCCCCTCCGGGCCCCTCCATTCACACAAAGTTTGGCTCCGGCGCTGCGGAGGGAGGGGGCGGCCCGGCCCGGCCCAGCTCTGCCCCCGGCCGGCCCGACCCCGGCCCCGGCCCCCGGACCAGCCCTTATCTGATCCCAGCTCCGGGTTTAAGAGTCCCGGCTCTGCCCGTCGCTCAGCTCGGTTCCTCGCTCGTGCCCGCCCCGTCGGTCTGTCTGGCCGGCCGTCCCACTGCGCATCCGAGGGGCCGCTCCACCCCGGACCCAAGGTAAGCCCCCTGGCCGTGATGGAGGAGTGCTCCCCGCCCCCGGCCGGCCCCTGTCCACCTCACTCCCAGAGATATCGGGCCCCCTAGCCCTTCCGTCCTTACCGTGTCTGGCCTCATTGGTACAAGCCTGTTCCCCAGCCTCCCACCTCTGGCGACCCCAAACGGACCCTCCTGGGAACGACTCCCCGAGGGGGAAACTTTACCCAAGCTGGTCACCTCACGCGCATTATTAGGCTGAGGAAGGGGCTTTCCTGGAGGCAGGCCTGGCATCTCATCACAGCCCTCTCAAGGAATACAGTGACCACCGCATCCCCCACACGGGCACCCCAGACAGCGCCCCCTCTTCCCAGGATCATCAGGTTACTCCCACTCCCAGGCCAGCCCCGTCCCCCCTCCCCACACAGTGACACTCCCATAGTGACACCCATTGATCACAAGTTCACACAAGGGAAGAAAGACACATACAGCTTGGATTAGGAAGCCCTGAGAGCCTGGTGTGCCTGGGACCCCTGCCCACCCCGCCCCTTCCCTCCACTCCCACTTGCCTGGCTCTTTGAGCTCCCCCTCCCCACTTCTCGCCCCTGTCCTCCCAGCTGTGTCAGGAAGATCCCTAGGAAGAGCACAGCAGGGCAGCTCCTACTGGAGTACAAGGCCAGGTGGAGATGACTTCCCCATCCCGCTCCTTCTTCCCGCCAGCAACTGACCAAGGGCAGCAGCCTTAGGAGAGAGACGAGTGTTGGAGCTTCCTGATTTGGGGGCAGAGAGCTGAGTCCTGGGATGGGTAGAATGGGTAGAAGGACAAAACTGGGACAAGGTGGGAGTCGGGCCTCTGGTCACTTGAGATTTCATTCCTATTACCAAAGCACCCCAGAGTGAGGCAGATGGGAAGTGGGGGTGGCGGAGAAGCCAGGGTACAAAACTGGACCCAAAAGGAGGCCAAAGCTCAAAGCCTGATTATGTTGCTTATCAACACAAATTCTAGCTAAAAATTTTTTGGCCAGTCTTTCTTGGCTGTGGTGTTTGACCTTTTTTCCCCACGGGGACTGCTTTAGGGAGTTCCAGGCAGGAGGAAGAAGGAGACGGAGGGCCATTTGTTTAGGGGTGCTCAGCAGGGCCTGAAGGGTCAAGAAATCAGCCTGAGGAGGGGCAGCGGCGGCTACTGAGTTCCACTGGGTTCCATCTCCAAACCTCTCCCTAATCTCTAGGACTTTCTGAACATGTTCTCACAATGGTGGGCACCATCCTGGGCCGAGGGGTAGGGTCTGCCTCCTTCGGGTGTAGGCTGGGTATGGGGGGCTCCGTGTAGAAGGAAGCAGGTGTCCTGGCTCCTAGCTAGTTCCTCAGGGAGCAGGAAGTGAGGGAGGGGGAGGGACGGCATCATGCCAGGGAGAGGGGCCAGGGCTGCTCTGCGGAGGAATAGGCATGGCCCAGGCAGTGCCAACTCCCTTTTCCCCGCCCCTCTGTCCTTTGGTGGTGGTGGCGAGGGAGGGAGAGAGGGGGTGTTGGGGGGTGATCTGGGCCAGTCCAGCCTCCCCAAGCCCTTGCCAGCCTGGGTCCTGAAAGGAGCTGCTGTTTTCTGAGCTGTCCCC